AGACTGATAAGTTTAACTACAAAACACTTTATTTTATGCTGGAAAAAGATACATAAACAAGGTCAAAAGAAATGAAGGAACTGTGGAAAATAACTACAACCTATGTCAAAGACTAAGAACTAAATTCCTTAAAACCTAAGCGTTCCTATAAACAATATAAATATTTCAGTAGAAAAATGAACAAAAACTATAAACAGAAACTATAAATAAAGGAAAGACATATGACTCATTTACTTTTGAAAAGATTCCTAAGGAAAATATATTTCTTAGCCAGGCAATTTTTTGAAAGGGTTAATAACTTACATTACTAGGGAAGGAGGAAACCACCGGCAGGACAAGAGTGGGCACCACCTCTAAGAAGGGCAATCTGACAAGTTTATCAAGGCTCAAATAGTACGAACCCTTTGATGTAGCAATTGTACTTCCAGGAATTACCCTAAAGATAAAGAGCCTAAAGACTCACTCTCACATGCAAACTTCTGTACGTAGAGGGAAGGGATATGCATTGTATCACTGTTTGTAGTAACAAGACTACAAACATTTAAATATCCATCTAAACAAATCTCTCTATATACACAACACACACACACACACACACACACACACCCACCCCCTTGCTTCTAGGGTCTAGGGAAAGAAGCCAATTAGCTGGAGTGGAAGGAAAACCTGCCTGTTCCCAAATGCTCTTTTGTCCATTTGAATTTTACACATTACTTATTTAAAATGTTTATTTTTTGCCCAGCTTCACCAATTCTTATACTTTTCCTCCTCTTTGTCAGTAGTCCAGTTCCTATGCTAGCAATGATGTTTAACTGGTTTCCCAACTAATACATTTCATTTAATTAAACTCACAGTTAAACAGTAACAGTAACTTGGATTCTATTATCCCATGACTCCCTTGCTCTCTGAGCTCTATCTCTGAATATATACTCTACAGAAAGCACTTTCCCTATAATTCACTAGGCATACCGAGATTATAAATCATCCAGGAAATAAGAAGCTATGAAGACAGGTACCAATGGCTCATACCTGTAATCTTAGCTACAGGGAGGCTGAGATCAGGAGGATAGCGGTTCGAGGTCGGCCTGGGCAGATAGTTCATGAGACCCCCATCTCCAAAATAACCAGAGCAAAATGGACTGATGACATGACTCAAGCAGTAGAGTGCCTGCTTTACAGTACAAAGCCCTGAGTTCAAACCCCAGTCCCACCAAAAAAAAAAAAAAAAAAGAGAGACAATGAATTTCTTAGCCAAACACATAATCACTATTATATTTCAGAAAACAGCAGAAAGGCATGAAGGTGCACCAAGTTTCACAATACATCATTTGTGCTGTCACGATGGATGCAAAGTCTAGTCCACTACTTTAGGTGTAAACACATGATTTTCTGTCCAAAGACAGGGGATTGAACCACACTAACTGAATTTACTAGACACCAATGTCTTACATATATACTAATTCATAATTTTAAAACATATGTGTATATGTGTGGTACACATGTATACGTGTGTATACATGCATATATACTTGATATTTATCTCAAGAGTATCAAATGATGACTACTAAGGAGTCAAACACAAATGCTAAGTATGCCCATGGACAATCATGATGCCATGAGAGTACATCAGGGAGACGAGACCATGTCAGATCGGAGAAGGCTACCATGAAGCAAACAATGTCACTGAGCTGACATCTAATGGAAGAAAAAAGAATGGAATGAGGAATAAGAGGTTCCTGCAAGTAGCAAAAGAGATGTAGAAAGGTAGAAAAAAGATCAAAGACTATAAGGAAGGATTAACCTGGAGGTAAGATAAGTGACAGACTAGGTAGTGCCTTTTAGGTCATACTAAGGATTTCTGCCTTATTCTAAGACTAATGAAAAAAGCTAGGAAAGGCCCAGAATGATGTTGCATGCAATCACCACTCAGCAGATCGAAGCAGGAGGATCAAGAGTTCAAGGACAATCTACATAGTGAGAATCAGTCTCAAAAAATAAACAAACAGGCTGGGGTGTGGCTGAAGTGTTAGAATGTGTGCCTTGCAAGCATGAAGATCTGAGTTCAAACCTGAGTACCAAAAAAAAAGCACCATGAATTATAAGCAGCGATGAGGACAGATTTGAAAGGACATAGGTCACATGTTCTCCCTCATATGTGGAATCTAGACTTAAAATACACATACGCACATGTATCTGTATCTGTATCTATCTATCTATAGGTATATATATACATATATATATACACACACAAAAACATAACTGCAATCAAGGGACTGGGGGGGAGGCAAAAAAAGAGGCGGGAGAGGTAAAGACAATGATGGGGGAGAACAATGCTGAAATACATTACATCTATGTATAAAAGTGGCACAAGGCAACTCACAGAAAGCTACTAAAAAACAGTAGGAGGGGGAATGGGAAGAGAGCAGTGCAGGGGGAGCTAGGAATGTGGTTCAAGGAGGAGAGCGCCTAGCAAGTGTAAGGACCTCAGACCACCAAAAAAGAAAAAAAACTCCATAAATTAGTTGTTTGTGTGAGACTGGGTTTGAAGGACTTCATGCTTGCAAAACAGATGTTCTACAACTTGAAACACCATGAATTATAAGCAGGGATAAAGACAGATATATATGCAAGAGATCAATGTAGTACATTCGTTGGAAAGCAAACACAGAAGCAGGACAACTGCTTTGAAAGCTGTGTAGGAAACCTAAGTGAGGGATGATGACAGCATGGCCTGGACATACAGAAGAAGTAAAATAAATAGAACTTGGTGAGGGACTACACCTGATGAGCAATAGAGAGGAGAATTTTAAGGGGGATCCCCAAGTTTCAGTCTGCATAATTGGATGGCTAAAGGTGCTATCACTGAAAGAGAGTGACAACCCGCCAGAAGACCAAGTTGTTTTGTTTCATGTGGAATTGGATGCAGGGTAGCAATGCAAAAAGGAAGAGAAAGGGCTCATCCAATATGTGAAAATTCTCATAGAGAAGGATGAAAAGGTAAATGGGACTAGAGGTCAAAGAAACAGAAAGTTAGTACATCAAAAAAGAAAAAAAAAAAAAAAGTTGTGCCTCTAAGACGAGCCATAAAACAGGCCTACGCATTCCTATTCCTCCCCATCACCAAAAATATTTTTTAAATGTCTCAGAATATAAAGAGAAATAGAATAATTAATGTGAAAGAATTTCAAAGTGTACTACTGAGATATCAGGTATTTCCCAGTTTTGAAAATGAAAAACAGAGGACGCCTACATGGGGAAGAAGGAACGAAGCATCAGCCAAGGGAAAAAGGAAGCAGAAAGAAAAGGCTAATGACCCCACTTCACGAATTTTTCAGTTAAGGCACGTTTTATCTTTACCTCTGGACAAATGGCTGTTCTTGGCCTGGTGTGCTAAGGGACTGCAGAAATAGCTCCACACCTGAATGCTTTACATGAAATCATGGCTTCCACCGCCCTCAGGTGGTAGGAGTGAAGAAGTGCCCCCATCAGGTTTTGAGACTGGGAATGTGCCCACATGAAGCCCATTGTGTAATAATTAATCCATGACCAAAGACCTAAAGATTGCACTGGTAGAGGGCAAACTGGCAATAGTCCTTGCCAAGACAGTTATCTTGTAAGTTACCAATACACAAAAAACTAGGTTGCTATTAATTTGGGATAAGAAAAAATATTTTTTTTTTTTCTTTTTCACGTTAAAGATCACATATTGAGCAATTCTAGTACGCCCAGGCTCGTACTATCATTTGAAATCCAGCTCATGGTATAGTACTTATTTGACTATTTAAAAATGTCTCAAATTTAATTTTAATGGCACATATAATGGGTTAACATTTCTAGCACACATCAGTAACCTTATCACAAACATAAGCAACCATCTCTGTACAAAATTTCCTGTTATTTTCAAATTAATCAAATAATTTTTGACTATTTAGAAGTACAAAGCACAGTAGTAAACAATTCAAAAAACATTATGTTCTCAAAACTTATCAACTAAACAAACATATCATTGACACAATCAACATTATTCACAAAAACACGGTGAATAATTAACACATCATTCTTGAGAGTTCTCTTCATGGTAAAAATAAGCTTGCCCAATATAGTATTTGACGCTCTGTGCATTATTTAATTTCTGCTTTGCTTTACCTCTACCATATTGAATACTCACTTCAAATGTACCCCTTTAAAATTGACTACATATGCATTTCAACTTGATTTGGTTTTGTTTTTTAAGGCATGTGAAGTCAAAATAGGGCCCTGTAAGCCAAAACGTGAAATTATTGCACTGGGTACACTTTTTAAATTCTCCATCTGTTGTTTTTATACTGTAGACAGAATAATTTTCTCCCTCATATATACATATGCATGTGTATATACACACACATATATATATTCTTGATCTTCGTTTTTCCCCTTAAAATCTAAGCATATCCTTTCTGTCTCTGGACATCCCAAAATTTTAGTGATTCAACTAATTTTCCTTAATCCTCTTGGTTGTCTTCCCCATACACTCCCTAGCCAACAACCCTACCCCGTCCTTTCTTCCGTTTCAGAATGCCTAGGCTCTGACACACTCGGATGGTTTTTGTTGTGTTCTTTCCCCACTACAAAATCACTTCTAGAAATGCTCTTCTGTCTTCTCTCCTTAATTTAGCACTTTTTGAAATAATTTTCCATAGACAGGCGCCAATGTCTTTCTTTGACAAGCTCGAATCGCAGAAGGGGAAGAGATGGGAGACAGAAACATCTGGGAATGTCAAGGAGACAACAGCTTTTCCTTCGAAAGACAAGCAAACTCTCAGCCCACACCTTTCCATACAGCAACAATACTTTCTTTCCTGGTGCCCCGGTTCCCTCCCTGACCTCAAAGACACCTTCCCTTCTCTCTGATTCCCGGTCCCTGTGCTAAGTGTGGGGCCTGCCTTTCCTCCTCCCTAGGAAAAGAAAGCCAGGGAGGACAGACAAGGCGGCAGCTGTCAGGACCCGGTCCCACCACTCACCTGGCAGGTGCGGCCGCCCGGAGAGTTGCACGAAGCGGTTGAGCTGGCCAGTACCCCGACCCCCGCTGCCCCCACTGCCCCCGCCGGCCCCGCTACCTCCGCCGCCACCGCCTGCCGCGCCTCCTCCCCTCCGGCGGTTCCTGTCCCAGCCCTGGGCGGCCGACATGACCCGTTAACGATTGCCGCAGCCCGGTCCCGGTAGCCCCTGACCCGGCGGCACCAGCGGAGCCTCCTTCCTGGGCTCCTCAAGAGACCGGGGAGACAGGAGAAGGGGGGAGCGCCCGCTCTCAGCAGCGACCAATGATAAACGGTTTTGGTGAGAAACAGCCAATAGGCAGTGTTCTTCTTGGTAGGTGCAGGGAGGCGGAGAGAGACGTGGTAACCATAGCTATGGCTAAAAAAAAAAAAAAGTGGGAGGGGGAGAAAGGCCGAAGCAGCCACTCACCAATCGCATTCACCGCACTGAGCCAACCAGAGACTCCGGCGGGGTCAGGCGGACCAATCGAAGCCCGAGTAAGAGAGACCGCGCCTGCAGAAGGCTGGCGGCGAAGGCGGCTGCTTCGGGCGCGGTTGGAAGTCGGAGCTTTTGCCCACGAGCATGGCAATCACAAGCAGCATATACACATTATGCAGATATTTGGGGGCAGTAACACTGTTCTGCCAACTTTGCAGACCGAGATCCCATTTCCTGACTGTTGGCACACAAAGGGCTGGGAGGAGGGGGGAGTAGGAGGACAGAATGGAGTCAAAACCTAAATATAAAACGTAATATTCCTGGGTTTCATCATTTGTCCTGTCTTTCATTTGGGACTGGCGGCTCCTCCCGGTATCAACCACGTCCAAAGCAGTTTTAAACCTGGTTAGCAAATATGGAAAACTCTTAACAGTAATAGTAGAAATCCAAATTAAACCCCAAATGAGAAACGATTTCTGGCTTGTTAACGCCGGTAAAGATTTTTAAAATAACACCTGGCGGTTATGTAGAGCGTCAAGAAAAAGATGCCCTCATAGATGATATGTAAACGACTTTTGCTCAACCGACCCCTTTTTTGCTCGCAAAACATTTTAATCGGCATAGAATAAACACAATGAAAGGGAAGTGTAAAATTAAATAAATGTCAGGAATGGGAACGGAAGATAAGACTGGAGAAAAACGTACATGTATAGAACAGAAATTTCTATTGTTCCAAAACTAAACAGAATTTGGGTTTGAACTTGGGGGGCGCAATGCAATGTGGGAAAATGCAGGCTTCTGGCTGACGTTTCCGAATGATAAGGAAAAAGCATCTAAATTTCTCAAAGGGGAAAAACAAAACTTTTCAAGGTTCTTAGATCAGATGGCTTTTTCCTCCCGTGATGTTTCACATGGGAGGACCTGAGGGACTGCAGAGGGAAAAAGGCAGAGACTCTACCGGAGCAGAGAACAAACAGACTTTGATCCTGGCGTGCAAATTTCAGGTCGCGCTGCTGGCCCTTCCCGGTTCGTGTCCTTAGGAAGAGAAGTATTTTAGCCATTAAGCACTGGAGTCCACTGATAATGAAGACGTTTTGAGACCGGGTGGGTGGGCGGGCGGGAGGGAAGTCTATGTTTCTAACACATGAAAACCAAAATTAATGAATGCTAGTTTTTTTAAAGAAATTGTACTATGGAATAACCAAATAGTAGCTGAAATAACTACTTCTTTTTATAGGAGTAGTCCAAGTAATAAACAAGGAATGACAGAATACCACCGACTTGTAAACCCTAATAAGTTAAGAGATTTACTCATTGAATATCAACCCCCCAGTAGTGTCACACGACAGTACATACCTCCAGAACATAAAAGTGACTCTGAAGTAGTCTTGTAGAAGAAAAAAAATGAACCCGAATCTCACCAGACATCTATATCCAACTACCAATTTATAGGAAATACAGAGGAAGGAGAACATGTTAAAAGAATCTACAGCAAGATCAACTGTGGAAATTCTACAGGACAAACAAGCAAATTTCTTCAACAAATAGATTCAAAAGAAAAAGAGATTTGGAGGGGGAAAATCTACAAATTAAAGAGATATATGGTGTGGTCACACACCTGTAATCCCAGAGCCAGGGAAGTTGAGGCAGGAGGATTGTAACTTTGAGGCCAGCCTGAGCTATATAGCAAGAATCTGTCTCAAAATAAAAAAAAAAAAGATAATGATCGTAACCCTGTGAATATACTAAAATTCATTGAATAGTCTGATTCATGACTTTGTGAATATATCAAAAACTACCAAATTGTACACTTTAAAAGGGTGAGTTACAACTCAATAAGGAAAGGCTAAGGGCTGCGAATGTCAGTGATAGAGTGTTTGCCTAGAATATGTGGGGCCCTGGGTTCAATCCCCAGTACCACCAAAAAAAAAAAAATTTTTAAATAATGTACAATGGAAGGAGTGGATGGGGAGACAGATGAAACAACATTGACTTCAAGTGGTAGAGCACCTGCTTAGCAAGCATGAGGCCCTAAGTTCAAACCTCAGTGCCACAAAAGATAAATTAATCAATTAATTAAAAATTTTTAAAAGTTAAAAATAAAAAAGAACTACATATATATGTGTATATGTAGCAAAAAGTAACAACTATGCATTGTAACCTGCTGACAGAAGTACATACACTTATCCATAAAGTAGTCTTACCAAAAATACAAATCTGAATAAAACCAAACCTCTAGCTCTAACTACTAGTTTACAGTAAATAAAATAGAGATGGTCTAGAAGTATAATGTAGATTGTGTGCTTAGTATACTTGAGGCCCTAGGTTCAATCCTCAGCACCAGAAAAAAAAAAGAGAGAGAGAATATATTAAAAGATATCTTGGAGGTATAATCTGATACACACCCAATGTAGAAAACTCTACAGAACAATCTATTTTCTTTAATATTGTTTTGTGAGGAAATGAGAACCTACAGATTAAATGATAGTCTATTAAAACTTTGATTTAATATGAAAATAGTAATCAAATATAATGTTTGGGCCTTGTTTGCATATTGATGAGGCAAGCCAACCATTTTTTTAATGGAGAAATTTAATCGAATAATGGATTATATTGGAAAATCATTACTTTTTTAGGTAGTATGGATATGTTTTGTTTAAAAAAAAGAGTTCTTATTTGTAGGCAAAACAGTATGGTGTCTAGGATGTGCTTCAGAATAATGGGAGTCTTTTGGGGGATGGAGCAGAGGTGAGGGGTGGAGGACATTGCAGACAAGGTAACGATGCACCGTGAATTGTAGCTGGTGACAGGTTCTTGGGGTTCATTGGGTTTCCTCTCTTCTTTTGTGTATATCTGAATTTTTCCCTCATCAAACGGTTTTTAAAATAGTTCTTAAAAGAACAATTCTAGATCTGCTAATGTGGACCATGGACTTTGGCTGACAGGGACGTGTCGCTGTTGGTTCATTGATTGTAACAAATGGTGTTGATGCAGGGTGTTGATGGATGAGGAGGGTGTGTAGGTGGGAACTCGGCACCAGCCATTCAATTTTGCTGTGAAGCTAAAACTGCTCTGAAAATTGAAGTCTTAATTTTTCTTTTTTTAAAGTGGCATTTGTAGGAACTGGTGAAAAAGACCCAGAACATCTTGAAAATCTTGTCTATAAATATTTAAGTTGGATAACCTTGCCCTATAGAGGATGGGCTACAGAGCCTTAAAACTCCCTTCTCAACCTACTGAAGCAGCCATTGGTCAACATTACAGCAGGTAGGCAGTGTGTTTAGAAAAGCTGTAGATTTCCAGAAGCCCAGCAACTTGAGCCTTAGAAATGGATCATCTAGAATTCCCCTCTCCCTTCCTCCCTCGCACTGCTGGCTTTGAATCTGGGTCCTTCTGATCTCTGCCTCCTGAGCTAGAATTACAGGCATGAGCCACCAGCGCCCGGGTGGATCTAGAATTTTTAAAAGCAATTCCTTGTCCCTCCTCCACCCCTACTTATAAAATTAAAAAATAAAAAACTAATTTGGAAGCTTCTGTGTTTCTTTTTGTAACTCTGAACATAAAGGCCTGAATATGCCTTAAAAAATTAACACATAATTGTTAATTGAGGTTCAATGTGATAATTTGATACATGTATACAATGTGTAATGACCAAATCAAGGAAATTAGTATTCTCTTCTTCCTAAACCATTATCATTTCTTGTTTTTCTTTTCTTTGCAGCACTGGAGTTTGAACTCAGGGCCTCATGCTTGCTAGGCAGGTGCTCTACCACCTTGAGTCACACTGCCAGCCCCATTATCATTTCTTTGTGTTAGGAGTCTTTAAACTACTCTCTTGTAGCTCTTTATAAAACATATAATAATATATAGTATATATCATAAAATATTTAATAAACCATAGTCACCCTATTGTGCTACAGAACATCGGAATTCATTCCTTTTGTCTAACTGTATTTTGATACCCGTTATCCAACCTCCCCCTTTCCCCTCAATTTGCCTTTGAGGTTTGGATAAAAAGACTACTGTACAAAGCCAAGATTTCACTGGAGTGGGGAAGTTTGAGATGACATGGTAAAAGTAAGCCTCATCAAGGAATCCTAATGGAGTGGGAAGCCACTGAAGGCTTTAAGAAGGAAGGTGACATGATCAGATCTATGTTTCCAAAGATCACACTAGCTACAGTGAATTAAGTTGAAGATCTACATTGGAGCCCATCCACTGCCATGGGTGAAGGTGCCCATAAGCCAAGGAAAAGACCTCTGCTCCCAAATACCTTCCACCTGTCACACTAAACATCTATCATGTGACACAGTATGCATTTGAGAGCAACCTAACTAAAGATTGAAATCCACTTTAGTCTATTATTTTAATGCAACGTCACTAATTCACCTGCTGTTATAACCATCAGTTATAAAGACAACACTCTGGTCACCATGTTTTGTAACTGAAAAACTGAAACAGTCTTTTTTTCTTTTTGGTACTGGGGCTTGAACTCAGGGCCTACCCCACCAGCCCTTTTTTGTGATGGGTTTTTCAAGATAGGGTATCTCAAACTACTTTGTCCAGGCTGGCTTCAAACCTCGATCCTCCTGATCTCCGTCTCCTGAGTAGCTAGGATTACAGGCAGGAACCACTGGTGCCTAAAACAACCTTTTAAGTTAATAACAAATTCAATTTCATTATATCATGTAAATGATATAATGCAATGAAGCAAATTAATACTTCAGCTGTCACAGGCAAAGAAGAAAAGAAAGGCTGCCAGGTAACATGTAAACACATCCTCATACCAAACAAA